ATCTATCAGGGCTAAAACATCCTGTAAAAATCGTGGCCTTAACTCACTAAGTTCACACTAACCATCGTTCGCATTAACCAGATTTGCCATTGTCAGATTTCCACCTCTTTCAAAACCATTACGTAAACGCGTCAGTCTGCTTAAGGGGATGTATACTACCCATCAAAAGTTTAGACTCACTTAAAGCACTCGCTATATGTTATGTATATACATTGTATATACATATGGTTACATCGAAGATGAATTTCTCCACTAACTTGGGGGAACCAACTGCAAACCTTATGCAGATGAATTGCACGAGTATCAAGCATCAAATTGCTGAAAAAACGTGCAGATATCGTGCATGTGAACAGCTGCGTTTTTGTGTAAAGTTTTGTTAAGAAATCGCCAATTTTCACTGAGTTTCATCATTTATTGAACTCATGACAGTAATGTTTTGAATGTTACGAATTTGTTTTACAATACGTCAGTTCATGTGTAAACAGTACCTTTAAACAGTATGGAATATTCTGCAAAATCTAATTTAGAACAGTTGCCTGAAGTAAGTGGCTAAATGTACACCAGTGAGTCTAAACGTTTGATGGGTAGTATATGACAGTGCTGGGAGGAAACTTTCTACAGAAATGTGTGGACCTTGCTGAACAGCAGCTACAAGCCAAATGCTCCAGTGCATCCATCCAGGCCAATGTTCAAGATTGGCTGTTACCAGCATGACACATTACTTCCTGTCTTGTGAGAATTTACTGTGGAGAGTTGCCCACGTCAAGAGCCCCTGGTTGTTTGAGTGGATACTGCTTATCATCACAGTCATAATTACTCATGCTATATCAGACTGGTGCTGAGTGCACAGGACTGTGAAGCCTCTTACAACCATAAACTCACTCACTCACTCACTCAGAACACAACAACCAAACACCTGAGACATCATTCTTGTTTTCATCTTTATTTTATTTGATAATACCATATATGGTACAGATTGTAATTTTAGCATAATGAACATGTAAATCCATAACAAAATAAAGATATATAATATGTAGTATGATATAAGTATAGCATCACACAATTCTGTGATTACAACTATGTAAATACCCTAAGCCGTGACCTGAATAATAAAACCTGATGGTATACACGTACTTGATCATTGGCTAAACACAGCCATAACATATTCATTATAACTAAATGATTGACTCTGCACGACTAGTTGTTCATTGGATTTCATCAACTTCTGTCAACATTATGATGCAATAAGCACTAAAACCCGTAATTACATGAAGAACTGATAAGTGAGATACATATTGTATGTTTTTTATATAGGCAGTTTGTGATAGTTACCTGAGGAATTGTATTTTTCCTAACCGTTAAGTGGGATTTCACCTAACTCTATCACAATCCAAGGTTAGTTTATCTTGCCATTTCGTACATGACATACAGGGGGTGTCATTAACTTTGTCTTTAAATTATTATTGTTATTTTATTTCTTATTTTTGGAAGGGGGGTCGTCTTTCACATTGTACATGCTTCTCCATAAAAATCATCCCCCACTAGCCATTCATTATGAACTATACCCTATAAGGCACATGCGAAAGACAGTCACATCATATTTCAGACTGATCTCCCTTGTACAGAAAATCTTTAGATTAGCTCAAACAAAAAGTGTTAGAAAGTCATCATGTCATGGTCCCATTAGTACCCAGTATAGTTAGACTTTGTATTAACATGTGACAGTAAAACAAGCTGACTAACTTCAAGGCTTCAACTTCATACTGTATCACAAGGTAGATCATGTATTGATAGACAACATATACAATGATGATGATCATATGTAAAACGATCTTAAAAGATATTGTCAAATAATATTTTCTTGAGTCTCAGCTACTGTTATGACACATACAACTGACTAAATCTCATGACAAGTTCAACCATGGTGAAAATATCAACTGTGTTTGGAGATGTGATAAACAGTTTGTATGGAAAGAGAACAGGGCCTAGATTTTCAAAGCTCTCATTACGCTAAGATAGTCGTAAGTGCCATACATTAACATTACACATTAACTTACCATTATCTTAGCACAAAGAGAGCTTAGAAAATCTAGGCCCTGGTATTCTATTTATCACATATATTTTTCAGTGTTCTTCACGAGTTTACCCTACAAATCAAAGCATCAATTGCAGCACACTCAAAGTTATTTTGACATGCTTGCAATCTCATCAACTGATGTCCCACTGCTCACTACTACTACAACATGAATTTCTATTTGAAATTGTCATTTAATTTTATTTCACAACATATTCAGAAAAATGCACTTATTAACCTCTGAATACAATATAAACATGATATAGCATCTTAAATAGAGACAGATGGCAAGGGTAGACAGGGCTCGATTTAGTTCTTTGATACTTGCACTGGTGCAACCTAAAATTACAAAGTGCAACCTTGTTATTAGTCTAACTTGCACCAGGTGCAAGTCAATTTTGAGTGGGTAAACCTCTGAATAAAACATCGAAATAATAATAGCATATTTCTTTCATTACATATTCCAATAAAAGCAGTGCAACTGGAATTGGGCTGGTGCAAGTAGGTTTTTATCTTAGGTTGCACCCAGTGCAAGTAAGTTAACATCTCTTAAATCGAGCCCTGGTAGATATCACACCAGGTTATTCCAACAATGCTTTTTCTAAAATAAAAAAATCCCAGCATAATGCATCTGTCATGTTTAAATATATCAATACATCAGTGAATCCTGATACCCTAAATGGAAATGGCTTCACAAAATGGCTACACCATATGGATGGTATCTGATCAACAGATTTCTTGGCTGGATATGTTGTGTTGGTAAATAAACTGAAGCTAACTAAGCGTATGTTGTAAAACACCCAAACGTATTCAAGCAAAAGCATTTCTTAAACAAATCAATGATCAACTTATTCAACAAATATTCAAACCTGTATAAGAAATTAACTGAGCTAAAACAGTTTTTCTCATTAGAGCATATCTGAGTGCTCTCTGCCTTCTTAAACTTTAACCAACCATTGAAATGACAAATAAGAAGTCCGCACTAAAGATCAGAAACAGCCACCTACATTTTGATGGCACTTTTCAAACTGGCGATTTCCAATCCCGACTATACTTTGAAAAATATAACAAAAAAGCTTTCGATTTATTTGAAAACTGAGCTGAACATTGTGTAATGTCTAATAGATGACAATGGCTAAATGTCAGCACTTCCCATGAGCTATGAAAATTCTCTTTCATTTCAAATGTATATCCCATTTATCACAAGTGAAAGATAGACAATGACTTGAACAGAATCAGTTGTACAACCATAACTGTCTTTTTGAATACCCAGTGTTAACCTTTTTTGAGGTTATATTAATAAGAAACACATACCAACGGTCTCCTTCCCAATCTAGTAAACACCCTGCTTCATTGGAGGCCTAGGGAATGGTGTTATGACATGACACATGATTGGATGTCCCCAGATTTATTTTCAGTGATAATGAGAACTAACATATGTTCTTAACAGAGATTGCAATATTGTAGTCTAAGGGCGTAAAAATCTGTTAACAATACAATCACAGCAAAGATTCCAATGTTGATTCTTTTGAACACCAAAACAATCAGATTGTAAATTCTTGACCAGAATTTTTCCGTAATGTCTTGGTCATTGGATATCTCTAAAAGCCAAAAATTCTTGGAAGTCCTTATAACAAACCACTTATGTAATACACCTTCATGAAGAGCTAGGTTTGAATTGAACTCATTAGAAGCAACTAGTGGATCGGATGGTCAGATTCGCTGATGTGGTTGATGAACACCTCAATTCCATAGACCAATGCCCATTCAGTTCATCATGGTGTTGTCTGATACAGACTTGATAATTAACAGACCTCTGTTACATAGCATGAATATTGCTTGCTGCAGCATTAACATGATTAAAGGTCACATGCAACGTAAAACACAACTTTGCAGATTCTGATACCTTTCGGTATGGACATAGCGAAACAAATCGTCAAAAATGCAAATTCAACTTATAAAGTTGAAAAATAACGCGATGAAAAAAAACGCGCGAAATCGGAGTTCAAACGTTTCACTAATTTTCCCCAGACTTTTCTGGGGAAAATGGGTTTCAACAGCTGGGCTGCGCTCATAGCACGTGCGCAAGTAAATAGGTTCGCGCAGCTTGGAAGGCGGGTTGTCGGGTGAATACTTTCGGTGAAGGCTTTGGTGTGAGCTATTTTTCTAATGTTTTGTTGATATCTCACAGGCGTGAGCTTTTTATATGTTATGACAGTAAATTAACTGTTTATATAATTTCACCACACGTTCTTCTTACCGAGTCACTTTCTCAGTTTGATACTTAAAAGCAATGTCATTATTTAGCGTTGACAGAATTTCTAACTGTGATATAGATATGTCGTTGTCACAGACAAAACTCAATGTCTTGTTTTATTGACACCTGTGTGTCTGCCTGCCTGTCTGCTAATGACAATATTCAATACACAGCTGCTGTCACTGACCACATGCAATTTGAACTTAACACCAATCAGGCTATACACCATAAACAAAACGCATTGATTTATGGCCCGAGTTCGGTCTCTGTCACATTATGTAATTACACGGACAGGCAGGTGTGATACTTGAACACATGACATGTTATGATGTCTGTTGATTGCAAAATGTTATACACAAAAAATGAGCATGTATTTACAAAACCCAACATCTCTATATATACACACACAATGAGCCGTGAAGGCGGCATCTGCTAATGAACCAGCCGTTACACTTGAGTGCACACCCACCCGCTCTAACTGGGTTCGGTATCCCGGCTGCTTCGTTTCGAGGGAGGTAAACCCAAGTACAAAATATTGCACTTTTGATTTGCGATTATACACATATAATTTTGTTTATTTGTTTTTTCATAATCAGCAATGCATATTATATGTCATGAAGAAGTGATAATTGTGTTTTAATTATGTTTGATTCTTTGATCCTTTAAGCAACAAACAAACAAATTCTGTACTGCACAAGACTGCAAAACTGCGAAATTCTGCAATGCCATTTTTCAGCAATATATTTGTGACCAGGATATTTCATCCCACTGAATTAATTATATTTTGGAATATTTGAGATCAAGTCTGATACTATTTTCCGTAATAAGGAGGCACATGGAAATAGATCACACTAGAGGCAAAGTAGCAGTAAATATTTGCCATGTCAGTGAGTTTTGGAAATCAACTGGTGGTTTAAACAAATGTGGCCTAAGTGATTATCTAAGGTTTTCATTCTCCACTCTACTTGACAGCCTTTCCATAGATACCTGGAGTGCTAGTCTTGAACATGTGAATATCAAAATGTGTCAGGTCAACTTTTGAGAAACCAGCTTGATGGATGTCATTCCAAGACTCCCTGTTAATGTTGCAACCATCCACCATCTTCTTCCACATTGGGTTGATCAAGTTCTGGATCCTCCTCTTGAACCTACCCTTCTTTGATGCCACATGTTCCACAAAGTAGAAGATTCCATTCTGTAATTACAGACAGATCAATGGTTATGCAATGCCATTTCACGATGTAATTTCGGTATGTTCTGACACCATTATCGAGCATGTCACATCAGTTGCTTGAAAACAGTGTTACAACATCCACCAAAAGATTGCTCATAATTGGAATAAAGAAATGGTGCATGCTTATATCTAAAGTCTTGCTTTCTCTCAAAGAATTTGATATTTATTCTCAAGGTGTATCTCTCAAAGAATTCGATATTTATTCTCAAGGTGTAATCATATTAAGCCATGCAAATGAAAGCCATGTCACGTTTTTTCTGCGTATAATTTGAACATTTTCAACTGATTTTTCAAACAGTAACATGGATGTGTGTGGCTTTTTTGACAGTGACACAGAGTGTAGATAGGTGCCCAATTAGTATCATGAAAACCATGAATAAGATTTTAATTACTAAATGGTATTACTTTTATTAATTATTAATTAAAAACATATATCATATCTAAGTAAAACTTAAAAGCAATATAAAAGTGAATCAGCTATGAATAAAATCTGGGTTAAGTAAACCCCTGTCCACCAAAGAAATTTGGCAGAAATTATTTCCCAATCTTGGCATCAGTTCAGCACTTACTGGTTTCAATATTCTTAGGACTTCACTTAAAACAGCCTTGACATCCCTCACAGTGCACAACACCAGAGTACAGACCACAGCATCACAACTGTTGTCTTCAACCTCGGGCATACTTTCGGCGAATCCCACCACAAACTTCTTGATGCTCACATTTGGATTCCGAAGGTGCACATTCTCTTCTAAGTAAGTTTTGTTGTAAGGATTTGGATCCAAGCAAATTATTTCTGAGCCTGATGGAAAGTTCTTGAAGTTCATGCCACTTCCTGAGCCGATTTCTAGCAGCTGTAAAGGACGGTTTGCTTTGCTTGCTTGTGAATTCAATTCAGAAAACACAACTGCTTTCTCATTTCGAATCCGCTTATGTGTCTTCTTTAAAAACCTATTCCCCATGTATGCTGTGAAACGCAAGCGAAATTGACGCAGTTTCTTTCTTGAAAGTGCAACGACAACCACGACAGTGACAACTGGCAGTAGATATTTCAGAAGAATACCTCTAGCAAAAATGTCTTCTAGCGCCATTTCAAAGCTTCCAAGGTTTACGTTGTTTTTTTCAGTAAAATAGAGACGACGACCGTTTTTTCACCTGTCTACCTGCTCAACATCATGTGTTTGAGAAGGGAGCTAACTCCCGAAGGCTTACGTTCCCGAGCACTCGGTTCATTTCTGAAACCGATGCAACTACATTGGTAAATTTCAGGTCGTAAAATCCGTTAAAAAAAATTGTTTAGTTCAACATGTGCTTTGAGAATGAGAATTGTTGTTTTTCTTTTTCTTATTTTCTTTTGTTCATGTATTGGTGTAATTCACGAATGTCCCATTGGTGTGGATACGGTTAACAGATGGACAATTACATTTGTAGTGCAGTCATAGGCGCTGAAATAGGTTCACTCTGATTGTATTTCTATCTTTGTCAGCACCATAGTGATAGTGATAGGCCTTGGTATAAACAGAGACCATATATCGGTATATGATCTCTGGTATAAACAAATCAAAATCACTTTGTGAAAAGGCCACAAAGTCTCAACGTGAAATAGGCCACATTAATTTGTACTTCATACGAAGTCTGTTTCTAAAAACAAGAATATAAACACACAGAAATTAGTTGTTCTATTAATTAGCAAGCTAATGGCATACCTACTCTAATTTACGCTCGGGCATAATTTAAGTCACTTCAGTGATTTTGAACAACTAAGTTAATTTAATCTACTTAACTAAAACATAAGTTGAAACCGATATCGTTAAATTCAACAGTGTCCTTAATTGGACTTTGTCATTCTCCATTCACGCGTGAACGCGCGATGACTAACATATTGGGACCAGATTATATTACATCTTGCGTAATTGCGACCCAAATACAAAATCCTAAAACGGCGCGTGCATATTTAGATGGAAGCGCCACATGAGTTTAGTCGCACAGAAAATTCTGGAAGAACATGGCGGCTGAGCTGTTTAGGTAGATTGGATACATGTACACACCGCTGTTGTCAGTTTTGTTGTCACTTATGAATTTGGCAATGCAGCTATTTATGCAGGAGTAATAAATGTTTATGCTTTCTCTTTTGCAGCAAGGCAAACGAAGAGTTCGTCAGTGAGAATTATCAGCGCGCAATCGAGGTAAACAAACCTTGTGACTCGTGTGGGCATGTACTGGATGTGTTTTTAAGTCATGTTTTTATTCAGTGAACTGTTGACAGAATGGTGTGTCTTTTGACATGCACATTTGGTGAAATTTGACCGAGCCCATGGAATTTTATGAATCGATATTTTTCGACACGGTTATTGGTATCCTTATCGTCTACATGACAGCAGAGACCATATAATTATATGGTCTCTGATGACAGATGATTGTCACTGAACATATTCAGCAGTTAAAACTGAAAATGAAACAATCTCCTTCCACATACTGAAAGTAGTCCATTGCGTCATCGTTTCCCAAAAAAGAATAGACTCTACTGTCAGCTTTAAACACAAAATACCTTGGTTTCTCCATTATTCGATGACCTAACAAGGTATTGTCAGCTGTCATGAGTGAAAAAGAATATCATCGTACTTTCATAAGTTAACTGAACAAGTGCACTAAAGTGCATACTTTGTCAGGTTGTAACATTATTTAAAACGGACGCTACTGGCTAGCTATCACCGCGTACCGGTTATCGCCAACACATGGCTGTAGCGCTTGCACAGACAGCTTGACTTGTACTTCCGTAGTACTTCTCACATTGACACATCACACAAGCAATAGGCTACTAGAGTTAAAATCAAGGTGTCTGTGCAAGCGCTACAGCCAGGTGTTTGCGATAACTGGTATGCAGCGATAACTGGTCGCTAGCCAGTAGTGAAATCAGTCAAGATTTTTGCAAATACATACAACGCCACCAATATTTGACAACCACGTAATTCACATACAAACAGTCAAGTAATGTGTATTGTATTCAACGAGATGTTTTTAGTCGATAGACGAAAGTTCAATCTCCCCACAACATGAAAGGACTACAACCAATCCGATACAGTAAATAGTAGCTGCAACATTTGTACAAAGGTTGTACCTGTTTTTATCCTCTCTCAGAGTAGCAGTTTCATGGTAGTGGGTGAATAGAAATTCACATGACACCAAATGATTATTACTGGAGTGTAGAATTTCAGGTGGACCCATTGCCCACACACTGGTTTTGTGCACTTGGCCCATTGAACAAAAGTAACACTTGTGCAATTTCCTAACTTTTGAGGTGTCAACTTGCCACAAACACCAATGTCATTGTGAGAGAACAATGCATCAAGAGAATGCTCTAATATGGCCCATTCTTGCCCCCAGCGGCTGTTCCGTCTTCACTCCTCCATGCAGCCCGTGAAGTGCCTGGTGCACTGTCATCACCTGTTTTACTTGGTTGCCTTTTCCTCTGTTCTTTATTATGTCACATGAGTTTTTCGATGCCATTTTCAGTAATGGCCTTTCCTCTGACAGGTTTGCTGACCTTTTTCAAACTTTGACTGAACATTTTCTTATACTACACCCCTTCTCTTACAAAGAATCTCACAGGTTTGTGTCACATCAGCATTACCTCAATTACACTCTAGCATATTCTAATTTTCTGGGCTTCTGAACTCGAATCTCAAGGGAACATGCGAGGTGACTGAACACAAACCTCAAGGGAACATGCGAGGCCACCGCAAACTGAGGGCATGGTCATATCTTTGTGACCTAAATGAAATGATGAACACAGTATGAAGTGAGCCTTTCAAGCATCCATATTTTTCTTTCAGCGACATTGATGGAGAATGTTGAGAAATTCCAACATGTGGATATGTCTAAAACTATGTAGGAAACGTAAAAACAGTGTTAACTTGTTGTTGGTGAGCCCCATGTGTACACTGTACAAGACCCTTACACAAGACACAGAGAAGATGTGTACAGAGTGTTGAAATTTACTGTTAAGTCTTCACTAGGCTCATCAACCCAATCTACACAAAACCCGTATAACAATGAAATCTGAGTAAATTTACAGATGTTTACTAGTTCCACTTGCATATTTGGTGAAATGATGACTTGTATCACTTCATTAATTCAGTTTGTTATTTGTGGTCACTAGAATTGATAACATCTATTTACGAATATTTTTTATAAGTGACATTTAAATGAAACGGGTGTTATTCATCAAAGCGAGATATGCAAAACTGAATATATACAGGCCATGCATATATCTTGTGTCTGTTTGCCAAGGACCCTTACAGTCCCGTTATAAGGCTATATAAACTGGGTCTGGAACAGGTTACCTGAGTACCCAGGTTGGATGAATACTTTTACCACCGAGGTCCTGAAAATCAAAGCTTATTTTCATTTTGTTATTGTATTTGGTCTGAAAGAAAAGTAAGCTTTTTGTCACTTTTTACTCGAAATGAATCAGCTTGCATTAAAAAAGTCTGGAAATTCATTCCAAAGTGTGAACTATGTAGAATATGCCATCTGTTTTTATATGATTTTTATACACATCGCAATTTCAAAAACATTCATTTTCTAGAACATATATTGATTGTCATCCAAACAGTCTAAATATGTCTTTCAAATTTGTTCATGAAATAGAAGAGTACCCTGCCAAAAATCTGGTCATGTTGGTATAGCTGTCTCTGTATCTCTTCAGCTCTATTCTGAAGCCATCCAGGCAGAAGGTGAGAGAGATGAGTTCTAACGTGAACAGAGCCCAGGCCTATCTCAAGCTTGAGAAGTACACAGGTGAGATGGGTTGACCATGGTCCTGATTTGTTGAACTCATGTCCATGGTGTAATATTGTCAAAATTCTACTGTATATCTTATCCCTGTGACTTTTATGGCTCCTTGTAAACAATTCACTCGCATATTCTGTGAATTGACTCGTATCCCTTCATGAATTCCGTTCATCATTCTAGAATCAAATATTCATGCATGTTTTTTAAAAAAGAATGTTTTTACTTGAATTTGGTATTATTTATCAAAGTGAAATATGTAAAATGGAATATATCCCAAACCAAGCAGGATGGTAGTCAATGTAATTTGACATTAATGTGGTCACTGGTGATTGTCGTGATAAATTTACACTGTCTAAATGGTCAAAACCATCCGTGAATGTATTTTGTTGTTGTTTCACTGAATATATTGAATATCCATCAACTGCTCATTTGTTATTGTATTCTTTACTCAATATTTGTATTTGATGCCCAATATTTCTGATATGTGTCATGTTGATTCATTGCAGCTCTAGCGACTTGAGCCATCAGTTTCATATGTAAACAATCTCATTAAAAAACAGATGTTGTACTGTCATCATATTGATCTCATTAAAAACAGATGTTGTATTGTCATACGATCCCAATCTCATTAAAATCAGATCTATTGCTCTAATTAAACGCCAAACTCAGAAAGAAAACCATGGGAACAACAGCTCAAAAAGACAATGCACATAATATGTCTACAAAATATACTCCTCACAACAAATTAAAGCGACAAGTATTTTCAGTGTAATGTATTTATCAATCTGCATAGCGATTTTTGCCGACGCATTACTGAAAGGTAAATATTCAAAGAATACATAACCTTTAGTGACTGTCAATTTGATTTATCTGATAACATTGACAACATCACCCGAACACAACCACCCTCAGAATCAACATGCAAAATGTGTGGCATGGATGTGCTCCACTTTTTACACACTCTGATCGGCGTAAACCCACCTGTGATCATTCCCCTGGCACAACAAGCGGGTCCTGACTTCATGTTTATGGATGATAATGCCTGGCCATGGATGATAATGCCCGAGAAGAGTTTTTAATGATGTTGTTTAGATCAACAACATCACACATATGGATTGGGCTGCAAGGTCACTTGATCTTAATCCCATTGAACATGCTTAGGGCATTATTGGAAGTTGTGTTTACGGTCTCCATGTTCACCCCCAGACTCAGCAGGCGTTACAGAGAGAATGGCAAATCATTCCACAACAGCAACTTTAAAGGCTCATTTGGTCAATGCAAAGACGTGTAGAAGCTTGCATTTGTGCTCATGGTGGTCATACGCGTTGCTGAACACTGCTTCACTGTCCAAAACTGACTTGAACCTTAATGTTAACATTTTGCTCCATCAATGCAGCACATTTTGCACGACTGTTTCACGGGTACATGCTTTAGATGATTTCTAAGTCTATTATTGCTCAATACCATTTCATATCATTTTGTTAATCATGTGTCTATATGTTTCACCTTGCTATTGCATCATTCCATGATTTGCAATTTCAATAAATGAAAATGTAATGAGACTAAAAATTTGTGTTGCTTAACTTTTGTGAGGAGTATATATGCTGCCTGTTATTTCCATTTGGACGCTGTTGTGTCAAAGTTGAAGGAACCTTTTTAGATATTTAAAGTTATCTGAAGTTCACCACAACTGCAAAATGATGACTAAATAAGGGTTATGCTTTTACCAAGATTTTACTTCTTGACTATAGTAGGTTGGGCACTTCAAGGCACACAAAGTTTCACACAAGGGTGTTCGACCATACTGTGTTTCAAGACACCAAAATCTTAGATCTATCTAATCTATGCACTGAGGTTTTAAGCCTGCTGATTGGTTGATTTGATCATGTCACATGATTGAGGGAGGATTTGTCAGATGTACACTTATATCGTATCAGAACAGGATAACTGGTTTTGATGATGAAGCTGAAGTACGACGTTTGTCTTGAACAGGAACACTTATTAAGAAGTTGTCTATCCATACAAAGTGTTCCTCCTCATCATACCAGCTTCTAAATGCCACTTAAAGTAGTCAAATATTTCTCTTGTAGTGTTTGTTAGACAGATGCATTTGGAGCCAGGTTTCCTGGCAGGTGTAGGAAATTAGGTTTAATGATCATCTACAACTTTGATTTTCAGAGGCATATAATGACTGCAGCAAGGCATGTACGATTAAGCCTCAGAATGTAAAAGCACATTTCCGGAAAGGGTATGTACTCTTATTTATCAGAAGCAATAATAAAAAATCTTTCAGACACATCAATAGAACAGTGCGCCAGTTAGCCCTGTGCGAGGATTCTTAATTTAGGTCACTGACACCGTATTTGTTTTCTGCCTTAAATTAATCGTAATTATCCTTAGAAAGTATTAAATTTGGCATCTTAGAAAAGAAATACAGTTCGCTCTACCACCATGTATAGTTTAATAAAAGCACACTTTAAGCCCTGAACTATTATAGCGTTAAGGCACTTGGGCAAAAAGAAATACGTTAAATACCTCATAGCGTCCTCATTCACTTTAACTATAATAGTTCAGGCGAAAGTGTTGCTATATTACTATATACATGGTGGTAGAGCGAACTGTATTTCTTAAATATTTAATGAAACCAACTGATTTATTTGCACCTTGTATTCATTATGACATCTGTGACTGGGAATGGATGGCTGATGAGTGTCATTGTGTCGATACAGTGTGGATCAGTGCCTTTCATCAGTGTTAAGTATGTCTAGTCTTGGGCCTAGATTTTCGAAGGTCTCTTAACGCTAAGATGGTCGTAAGTACCATACATTAACATTAAATTACAACTATCTTAGCTCTCAGAGATCTTGAAAATCTAGGCCCAGACTTATATCTACAGGTTGCTGATAGGATTGGGATGTGTGTGCAGCATATCATAACATTCACCCCATCTCTATGTAGATAGAACCTGTGAAGATCCGGCTTAGAATTGATCTTCAGTAACCCATGCTTCTTGCAAGAGGCAACAAACAGGATCGGGTGGTCAGATTCGCTGACTTAGTAGACACATGTCATGGTGTCTCAATTGAGTAGATCAATTCTCATGCTGATGATCGCTGGATTGTCTGGTCCAGACTAGAATATTTACAGACGACCACCATACAGCTAGAATATTGCTCAGTGCAGTGTAAAACTAAACTCATTCACTATGTAGATAGGCATAACATCTGCATGGGTGGCTAAGATGTCTAATGCACCAAATCCTCCCTGTTTGTGAGTCATGTACTTAAACCATGTCAGGAGGTCAGCGTACCCTCTTATTCACTTGATTGAGCACATGATTCTGGGTGTGTCAGCATCATATCAGTGCTCAACCCCAAGCTACATTCCTTTGGTTCCTTACACATGAAGCTGAATTTTTGTGTGCTTTCTTTTCAGAATTGCACTCTTCCATCTTAAAGATTACAAAAATGCTATTGATGCTTTCCGAGAAGGACAGTCCCTAGATCGTAAGTACTTCTGCATGATGAAAGGTTGTAGAATTAGCATGAAAGTCATAGTGCCCTTGTCATAAGTCCTCATGATATAGGATGAAAGTTTAGGAGACCTCTGTATTCAGTACTGTAACAGCACACCAGAGAGACACCCAGTCATCCTAATTTTGAAGCCTGCAGAACAGATGTCATCAATTCTTTAAAATTTGATTTTCATAAAACCAAAGGGGCTGTAATGAAGTAATTGTGTATCTTTGTTTACAGTATTTCTTGTCTGTGGCTAAGCTACTATATGTTATTTAGCTCTTTAGTCATGGATTAATAACCCTGTGTGAAACATGTTGCGGTGTGATAGCAAAGATGTGAGAGGGGTCAGCTTTGTGCTAATGTGCTGTTAGATATTCCATAGGGTGGTGTGGTAATCTAGCTTTGTTTTTGAAGTTTGTTTTGAAACTATTTTACTGTTCTTCATGGGCATTTCAACAAAAAGTTATTACAGTATTTTTTTACTGCCTGTCCAGACAAGATGAAATGGTTAAATGAAAGACTTTGTGCTATTGCACATGAAGTGATGTTTTTCTGCATTTTCCTGACACTTTTCTGAATTGTTTTGAAAAATTTCGGTAATTTCTATCCATGTGGGTAATAAAGTATGATATTGGTGGTTTTCCAGCAGCAGATTCTAACTATGCAATGTGGCTTGAGAAGTGTGAAGCAGAGTTGCCTCCCTTGACTTCGTCCTCGACAGAAGAGGCATCCTTAGCTCCAACAAAACCTACGACGGAGCCTTCAACGCTGCCCACAGCGGAGCCTCCAACAAAGTCAACAGCAGAGCCAGTCCAGATGCCATCAAAACCAAAAGCAAAGTTTGTCAGCATTTATAGCCTCAACATTCAGTCCTTCACTGTTAATATGTCACAGGTTTTGCACACACTACATTCCATTAACGTCTGTGTGTAGCTCATGGAAATCAGATCAGCCCTTGTCATTACTCAAACATCATGCAAACTTACCATAACCTGACCCTACAGCAGTGACTAGATTCTCCCAGGGCTATGGCTCATGCTGTGCATACGAGTCCAGAAACACTGTCGTGATATGTTCTAAGTCATCATCCATGTGTGTTGTCACCGCTAACTGTCTCACTGGAACGAGGCCATGGTTTCATTCACTGGTTCAAAATAATGACTTTTGTGCCAAATATTTTTGTGTGTTTGCAGGTGATGAAGGAATTATGTTTCCACAACTCTGTGAAGTATTGACAATGTCAGTTCTTTTGCCGTAGGCAAATCTGTATCAACATATATTTTTTCTGATGCTTGACATCAGTGTTATTGTCAATATTGACAAACCATTAAATTGTGTAATTGAAATGTATCAAAGTTTCCAATTGGACACATTTTTAAGTCCGACTTCATGAAGACATTGTTCTTTAAACTCCTTTGGATCAGAAACAGTTTTGTGAGTGAGATCACAAGACAAAAGGTGCAACACTTCTTGCGAAATTATTGTATTAGCCTTGAAACTTGCTGGGACTGCCAATTTGCCTCAAGTTCCTATTAAGTCTATTGCGTACAAGTACGCTTGAAGTTTTGTAAATACTCAATGTGATCTTACATGCGTACACACTGAAATGTCAAATTGTAGCTTGCGTACTGGTGGATAGATAAAATAACTGAAGCATATTGAGAGGTTCTTGCAGTCTCCTTATCGTTTCTCATATTACAGATCAAATGTAAATCACAAACACTAACATTTAAACTTTATTATATTTATAAAATTAATGGAAAATGGCAAAATATCCAAGTTGAGTTTGAGTGAGGTGAGTACAATTTATTTGGTTACTCAAAGGAAAATTAGGATACCCAATTGAGATGAAGACTAGCGAGTACATAACTCAATGACCAAAAAAGTTTTCTGTAGCTCTGTATTGACATGTGCCTGTTGGTGTAGTGATGTTGACGTGTCTGTTGGTGTAGTGACGTGTGTCTGTTGGTGTAGTGATGTTGACGTGTCTGTTGGTGTAGTGACGTGTGTCTGTTGGTGTTTCAGACATGACTGGTACCAGACTGCTACCCATGTCATAGTTACTCTGCTGATTAAGAATGTGGCCAAAGAAGACTTCACTGCTGACATAAAAGAACACACTGTAAGTAACAACTGTCACCACGGTCTCTTGTTGCTGTGTGTGAACCAGCCGACAAACAGCAGGGAAGTGAGTGAAGCCAGAAGTGTACATTGAACAGGTGCTTGTAATTTCGTCAGGCATGAACAGTTGTCGCTTTAGTCCCATGGCATCAGGAACTCTTTCAATCTATGTCCAACCTTTTGATTTGACTTTCCCTTGCTTGTCTCCAACATCATGTTCCATTGATGCTGGTGTTTTTGGTTATCAATGACCTCAATGTGAAAACACTGATGGCTTCAGCCCTCAACTGCCTCAAACTCAAGGGGACCACTAATTTTTGTTCATGGTAATCGTAATTTGTTGTACACATTTAGGATGAGATGTGAAGCAAGTGTGCGGGACCCCAAAACACTTTGTTACATCTGTCAGTTTGTTATGGGAGTCTTGGTAATAAAGGGAGTTTACTGGATGTTTCTTTTATGATCTTACGAAATTTGTCTTGAGTGGAAGTAAATGCGAAGTTAGGCACTGGCAGTGTCGGACAAGTGGAGTAATGCTGTGAAATTAGCTGTGAAGAGTTGTGTCCCCTTATCTGTGACAAGATGGATGTGTCGTGGCTGATTATCTTACAACATTATTTCAATATTCCCAATATTTAATTGCCAACATGAGGCAGCCCAGGTTGTCCGGTCAATTACCCTGCCGGAATTGAGTTACATCCCTTTGGGTCGGCAGGAGCAAGTGATTGTAGGTTGAAATCCCAGATCATCAGCATCACCTGCTTACTTTTTGCATTCCTTTCCACTCTTCAAAGCAGCATTAAGCCCTACTGACCATGACAATATTGATGTATGTTTGCACCCAATACCTGATACCTCCCCTCTCACAGTAGGGATGTTGTGCATGTTGCAGGTTAGTGTTTACATCAAACAGGGCAGTGGGACGGACTACAGCTTGGAGCTGGACCTGGCGCACCCAATCGTGCCCGAACAGTCCAACTACAAGGTCATGTCTACCAAGGTAACTAGCAGGTTTAGTCCACCTAGATTATCCACTGTGTCTGTTATTCTGCTACGATACACTTCACCGTAACTTTACACAACTTAACACAGAATTTATTTCATGAGGTGAAAACAACAGCTAATCAAAATTCCATATTTCAACACTAATTTGACATAGTTCTTTATTCAAAATAGAACATGTACTATGGTGGGTTTTTTCTTTACTACAAACATTAAATGTTTGGGCAACAACATACCGAGGATGTAGTTCCACATAGCCATTGCTATTGCAGGTAGAGATCAAGTTGAAAAAGGGAGAAGGCATCCAGTGGACAAAGCTTGAAGGTGAAGGCCAGCCCCAGGAACCAAATGCATACATGGCAGGTCAGTGTTATTTTCATCTTCAGTCATCACGTTGCCATAGTTACGATATTTAGACTGATGTTAAGACACTCACACCTTCGATGAGTCAAGATGCAGGGTCGTCCCATTACTGTCCCTTGTCTAGGGCTCCAACGTCTCTATGCAGAGTTGTGGCCCTTTGTGCCTGAAACTTATGGCCAGTTCACCTGTATTCTTTCCCAATAAGTCGGCTCAGTGCCTGTATTCAGGGTTTTGCCAAAGTGGTAGACAGTGATGGCTAATGCTCTGATATAACTGAACTACTGGAAGTGGCATTAAACAAACCATTCAGATACTCTGAGTTATACATTGTGAGTGTTCTCCTCCGGCCTCCAGCACCTGTGGCAGCACCTGTGGCAGCACCAACATCTCAGTATCCGTCGTCAAACCCAACGTCACGTAACTGGGACCAGCTGGCTCTGGAGGTGACGGAGGAAGAGAAGACGGAGAAGAAGGAGGGCGATGCTGCTCTCAACTCCCTCTTCCAGCAGATCTACTCTGACGGGACAGACGATGTCAAGCGAGCTATGCTGAAATCATTTGTGAGTCCACTGTTTTTGTTATTTTCAACAAAACTTGGGGTTAACATTGGATTGCCTTGATAATACATGCTTCTTTTCAGTACATGTGGTGCCGAGGTGTTTAGAAAACTATTCTTTACTGTGTGTTTGTTTTACAGGACAACTGGCAGCATAGTGTTATTAAGCACGTTGCTGTTCCATGATGTTGAGTACACTGTTCTTTTCTTTGTGTTTGTTTTTCAGTACGAATCTGGTGGCACTGTTCTGAGTACCAACTGGACAGAAGTCGGCAAAGACAAAGTAGAAGTCAAGCCCCCAGATGGTCTTGAATGGAAGAAATACTGAAATCACCTCTCACATCTCTATTTCCAGCTCGAATTTGTGCCACTTCACCTTATCAAGTGGACAGTTGGAACTATGGTTATTTTTACATACATATTTTGAAAACACATTCAGACCTTGATGATTCAGATTCCTGTGACTTGCCATCATTTCCAGTTGAACTGAGGATGAATGTAACAGCTCATTTGATATGATTTCCTGTTGAGAATAGGCCAGGTGATTCGCTTCCGCATACGACAGCGACTACCGCTGTAAGGTAATCCTGTGACAAGGACTAAAGGACGGGGATGAAATAATGAAGATCTCTACATGCTGCAGTACGATTCATGATTCCCACCATCTTCAGTTATCTAGCTTATTATTATGAATGCCCTTGATCCATTCACTATCAATTGAGTACCATATCTTTGGAAACTTATCATCTCCATCTCTGAAGTTAATCACTACTGAAATAGTCTCCCTCACAAGTAGCGTTGATTCGACGGAAACTTTTAGATTCATGTCATTCAAATGAGACTCAATACAAAGGTGTGATAGTGAATGGGACCTGGGATTATCATAATGAATTGGCGATATTCGACCCTGGGCCCCTTTTCACAAAACTATCATAGCCCTACAACTGTCGTAGGTCTATGTTACTGTATAAGAGTTACGACAGTCGTAGTGCTACGAAAGCTTTGTGAAACGGGGCCCTTGATTTCTGAGGGTGGATTGTGTCAGTTACTCTTATCAAATAGGAATGCTTTTACTGTGTATGTGTGAGATATTGCACCTGCAAAACGTAAAGACTTCACTGAAGTCATCCTGCTGTTCCAATAAATTCTGTGTTATTATGTGGATGACTTATCATCTGTTCTATGTTGGTCACTTATGTCTCACTTAACACTGAGGTGTGTGTATGGCCTGTTTCTCTAAGTCATTGCCTTTGGCTGCTGGTAATAAGGTCCCATACATGCATCTTCTGTGTTTGAATCCAAGGTTAGCTCTAATTATATTTCAGTTTCTGTGACGTTTACTTCTGGTAGTCACTTGGTCAAGAATATTAAGAGAATGGAGATATTTTCCTCTGGATTATCAAGAACCTATTCTGTTTGGAGTTGGACCTTGCTCACCATGTTTTCCCAAGACGATATGTCTACAAGATCAGGGTTGTTGTCACAACAGTCACACTTCAAATCAAGCACAAACACATTGGTTCATGTAAAATGATTAATATAGAAGAGAACTGTTTGTATGTCATGCCACCATTTGCCCTTCTGGCGTAGCCTAACTTGGTAGGCATGAGAAATGGAAAGAAAGAACTTTAACAATCAACTTTCTAACATACAAATTTGACATCTTTACTGGCAAAGTCCTCTTCTGTTGTTTGTTCACGTGAAGCGATAGGATGTCGTTTTCTTACCCTCTGAAAACAAGTTTGATGAAAGTGTAACCCATAGATAAGCCAACCACTATTGTTTTTGGTCCTCAAATTTGGCTTATACAATGTATACAGTAATATACGGTAACTCATCTTGGCAGTGTCTACGGTAACGGACAAAAGTTGTCCTACCCGGACCGCTTTAGAATCTGGACAAATGAGTCGGTCCCAAGCCAGTCCGTAATAGACAGATTCCACTGTATGTTGTATTTGTGATTACACTTTCTCAGTAAAGTACAGATTCTAGTTCTTTTTATTCGGTTGAGTCCTATCCGGGATTCCACCCCACTCTCTCAGAGTAAGGCACCTAATTGCCAGCACGAGTAGTGGTCTGACCTACTGAACAACCTCTGTTTCATTTCCAGTTGTCAGAGTGTTTGAAAAACTATGTAAACTTGACTACCAGTTATCAGACTTCTGTCTGTAAAACCTTTGTGGCTGAATGGGTTAGAATGTTAACTTGGCTGGTGATTAGGTATCTCTCACAGAGAGGGTATGTTCGTATCTCTGACAAGACACAACCCTAAAAAGGTACTAGAATCTGTACTTCACTGAGAAAGTGTAATCCCAAATATAACTCATGTTGCCATCAACCACTTTCTAAAAGGTGTTTTGTACTAATCAACTTTCCGTGCCAATCGTAACAAGCTTACTTATATGTAAAAATGTTTAACTGCACCTCTTACTTAGCGCGTGCTCGCGCGCGCACGCACGCACACACACACACACACACTTTTCATGTGCACTTGTAACTTTCTGGTCCGGACATTTTCCCTAAGTTGAAGTCTACAAACATGGTGTATGCAAGTTCCCATTAACTGGGATCAGGTGGTCAGACTCGCTGACTTGGTTGAAACATGTCATCGTATCCCAAATGTGTAGATCAATGCTCGTGGTGTTGATCACTGGATTGTCTGGTCCAGAGTCAATTATTGTCAGACCACTGCCATATAGCTGGAATATTGCCGAGTGCAGTGTTAAACCAACCCATCATTCACTGGATTATATTTTACAGATTCAAGTTATTGACCAGTGTTGTTTTTTATTTTAGATGGAAATGAATATTTTAGATTTAAAAACTTTCTTAACTTTACAAATGCACAGATTGAGGCTTTGGCTCCTGGCTGAGACTGAACAACCTGCAACATATGCAAGAGTGAGCTTAACTTCCTAGCTCTGTGGGCGGTGGGGTAGCCTAGTCTTTTAAGTGTTCGCTCGTCATGCCGAAGACCCGGGTTCGGTTCCCTACATGGGTACAATGTGTGAAGCCCATTTCTGGTGTCCCCCACCGTGATATTGCTGGAATATTGCTAAAAGCGGCGTACAACCATACTCACTCACTCACTCCTAGCTCTGTACAGGGCAACATCCTCCCTCAACAGAGATTAACACTTAAAGGAGAAGTTGCTGCGTTTTGCAACTGTCAAGTATATAAATGCATTCAGTAACATATATTAGCGTCAATTTTGATTGCTTCACAAGGTACAGTTTCAAGATTTTGTCTTAAATAATTATTCAGGGGTTCAGGAATTTTATGCTAGTGGTAGTTTATATCATGAAGTAAGAGTAGAAGGGAACAGATTAGCCAGGCGTGCATGTCAAAGTTTGACAATTAACTATGGCCTATCGCAGCGTTTATATTCAAAACCAACACACTGATGTAAGAAAACGTAAGACCGAAACAAGGGGGATCGTAACTATATCGTCAGCTTGGCAGGTGTTTAGCGACGAGTTTGAGGTGTTAAGTTTCTTCGAACAAGTAACGTTATTTATACTGGCGGAATGTGGTATTATTGGGCTGTCCTCAGAAACAATACAATATATACATGTGCGGTGACCGAATGATCGTTTGATCAAGGACATGGATTACAAAAGCTTATAACCTCGAGGTATCATTACCTATATAAAGCTGACTTAAAAATATTTTCTCAATATTCCCAAACTAACTTTCAGCTAACCTGCTCAGACACAAAGCACTCGACCAATAATCCTTAGCATAAATATCATGATCTTAATCGGGCCACGGATTTCACAGGCAACTCCGTAGACCCGACGACAGCTTGTGATCGCGGTTGCTGTTTGGTTACCGGTGCTCTAGGGTGTCGCCAAAGACACGCATTAGTTCTACATATTAGGCTGACGTCTGCGGACTGGATGTCTACCCGGAGAGCAGTGGTTCGACCCTCAGCCACTTCACCAAAAGATGGTACTTTTTACTTCCCTCCCCTTTTAGGGGCTAAAACAAGGATTTGTCGGCTTGGAGACAGTTTAATGTGTCTGGGTGGGGTATCACCTCCCATATTGCTACGCTGATAACCCGTGTGACAACACTGAATTAGAATACGGTTCAACGTGGCGTTTAAACATATCACTCAATCACCCGTTCTTTCAATAGTGCCAAACAGAGCTGACATCACTGTTTCCATGAATACTGATTGAAATAGGTTTATGTCGATCAATAGCCCATACATTTAACAGAGATTATACAATTATATCCTGACCATTTTAACAATTCATTGATAGAGTGGTCATTCTAATTTTAGATACGTCTCGAAAAATACATTCTCTGTCTATTTAAGTTGTCCCTTTGGAAATCGGTCTTCCTCAACCTTTGGGCGGTGGGTTAGCCTGGTGGTTAAAGCGTTCAAAACAGAGCTTGTTCTAATGACCTCATATATAATGAGGTCGCGGGTTCGATCCCCGACCGCGTCATACCAAAAGACGTTAAAAATATGGTACTTGTTGGTCCCTGCCTGGCGCTCGGCATTAATGGGTACAACAAGGACTGGTCAGCTCGGAGTCAGTATAATGTGTCTGAGTGGGGTATTCATGCTTCACTGCGGCATGGTATCTCAGTGGGCTAGCACTATAAAACCAGCTTCAGTCTGGGCTAGTACAAGCAGCCGCACCTACACATACACACGCATGCACGTCGTCATATGAGCGAAATATTCTCAAAACCCAATTTCACCTCACCTCACCTGTATAATGATATAACTGATTCATTTTGCCGACAGCTGAACTTTTAATCAGTTGTGTCAATGGAACGATATCAGTGATCGTTTCAATCTCCCCACGAGGTTTACGTGTATCGTTTCGGAGTATGAGATATGATTTTAATGGACCTGTTTGTTCAAAACTAAATGCCGTTGAAACATAACGCCAGAAATCTCGTTATGATATAATCTTTGACCGCCTCGGACAGTATGCGTATGTGTCTAGTCTATAGCTACAAACTTGCTTTCATACTATAGACAGAACATGTGACACAATACGGCCCAGGCTTTTACCTGATTTCCATGGGGCAGGGGCGGCGGGGTAGCCTAGTTGTTAAAGCGTTCGCTCGTCAAGCTGAAGACCCGGGTACGATTCCCCACATGGGTACAATGTGTCAAGCCCATTTCTAGTGTCTCCCGCCGTGATATTGCTGGAATGTTGCCATCAACCACTTTCTAAAAGGTGTTTTGTACTAATCAACTTTCCGTGCCTATCGTAACAAGCTTACTTATATGTAAAAATGTTCAACTGCACCTCTTACTTAACATACATACTACAATGTGTGAAGCCCATTTCTAGTGTCTCCCGCCGTGATATTGCTGGAATATTGCTGCAAGCGGCGTAAAACTAAACTCATTCCCTCCATGGGGAAGAGTGAAATATAGCCATGCCCCTGTTTTACTGAAACAAATTATAGGCAAGCGTCCAACGAATACAGTTTGTTGTTTTCATTTATATAAACAAAATGTAACTGAGCACCTGGCTATGTGGGAGAAAAATGAGTTCCTAAATATATAAAAATGTTCTTAAACTAAAACCCATCTCTCCATGAAAATCATATGGTTTCTCACTTAGATATATAATTTACTGAACAATTTGCTAAATAAAGACCATGATTTTTCAAGAGACACGTCTAAAAACAAAATTCGATAAAAAGTTTTAAAAAATTGGCTTCGGTTATCGCCTGGAACCAAAAATGGACCACAGTCGCTTCACCAGTTGATAATAATAGTTTCCGCAGTGCATTCTTTCTACCTGCACTATATATACTTTAAGCTGGCTCGGTCCCAGGCACCCAATACGTCGTATGCACAGAGACGTTCCGCTAGATCGCCATGTCATGTTTCCCTTATTCTGTCTCACAGTCCCTGAACCATATGATTTTCCGTACTGCATGGCCCTCCCTGCAATGCTAAAGCATGAAGCAAGTCTAGATTTCATCAGGTTCGGAATCTCTGGTCTCCCGAGGCTCCTTTTCACCTTAAATGGCTTTATTTGTTACTATCAAAATTATATATATTCAGAAATATAGTCTGTGTTTCCCTCTGTAAGCTCGTCGTCTCACGAAAAGCATGGCTTCCTCGTGACGCACTGACGTCAACAGGTGCGCGTATTGCCTCCATAATGTTGGTTTCTGTGTTTTAGCGGGTTGCCGTTGTGCTGCTGAGATATTGCTACCGCATAAAACAACATCACTTGTTTCTGTAAAACATTTGTATAAAGAACGCATACCAAAATACAAACTCATTATGTCCTGATACAACATTCGGTAACTGTACAAATTCAACTAACGTGATCGCTGAATAATGCTGTGTAAGACAAAAACATAACCAGGGGCGGATACAGCTTTTTGAGAAGGGGTGTGTTTGCCCACTATTGAGAAAAGGAGGGGTGCACACTTCATTTCAGCCGAGTTTCAATGGTCTTTAAACAAACTTTCAGTACAAAAGGGGATGGGTGGTGGTGGTGCGCACACACACACACACACACACACACACACGCACACGCACACGCACACACACCTGGATCCGCCTATGCATATCAATTTGATATCAATCAAAGCATCGTCTAAATTATAAATGATTGCATTTGGGTTGGGGGTCTCATTTACTTTTCAAGGAAAGACTGTGGACATTAACTAGTGTCGACGGGTGTGACTGACATGGGTGTTTGTTGCTGGAGGTATTTTTCTCAAGTCAGCAAATAATGGACACAGAGCAATTTTCTCCATGATCTTACGGACAATCAACAGAAGAATCATATTTGTGAAGTTATTACACTTTTTCAGTAAAATTACAGTCAACTTAAAGGACTTCAACTTCAAGCCCAACATAATTGTAGATATCCTCCATGTTCCAGTCTACTACATGCCGTTTTTAAAACAAGGAAAAATACATTCTTTTTGCGATTTACACTACAGCTGCCTCAGCTGTGATGGCGAGTGACGTCACAAGCCAAGTTTACATTGACAGGGATTAATTCACGCCCACACAATACACAATCTGGACGATAACATAACTCTGAAAGACATATTCTCGACCACAGTCTTTGCAGTCACACTTCACAACACACTGTTCACTAAGCGAAACTTGCAGGAATTCGGGCACGAGTCAGCACTAGTCACTCGCATTTATCTACCCAGAAATAAGCAGTCATGAGAAAGCATCGTCCTTTTCCTCGAAAACGAAACTTTTGAAAACAGACGTAACTGTAAATTTTAGAACAGTCTCAGTTTCTTCCCCTTGTATTTTATACGGCTTTGCAGTGAAGATTGCAGTATCTGAATCTACGCTTACAATAGACATCCTCTGGGGTTCCGCTTCCAACATAACAGTTCGGGTAGCAATGCAGAACTGATATTGCACTGTCAATCTTGTGACGCCAGACCTTCCCGCAAAGTGTCGTACTAAGTGACAGCAATGTTTCGAAGGCAGCAAATTCTGTGATAGAAATAACGTATACACTTTGATTTTTAAGAAAAACAAACAACCCACAAAGGTTGTGTCCTGTAATTTGATAGTCACATGCACGAAATCCAATATGGCCTCCTGTCGAAGCACCGCCGGGTGAGGTAAGCAGGGTGGTTCAGGATTCACCTGGATTCTCCTGGTTGAATCGCGAGTGTCTGACGACTCTGAAGTCCTGGTTTCTCCTTGCACGACCTGCCCTCGACCGCTCCCCCACATCCCCTCTATTCCTGTTTGGGGAGTGAGGAACAAGAAGCTCCCGAGGTATCGTCTGCTCGACAGCAGAGTTATCGTCCCTGACAGGCCGTCTGGTTGTGCGGGGTCGTCTTTGAGAGAGGATTTGGCTTATAGGTAAATCGGATAGTTCCGGTGGGTCCTCACCATCATCGCTAGTACTTTCTGTTGCTAACAGTTCGCGCGTTTGGGCCAACCGCAGACGAGATGTTATGGCTCTCAGGAACTCTTCGTCAAAAGAGTCTGGATCAGCGTCCGAGTGAGGGGGATTCAGATTGTCACAATCATAAGGCAGAGGCCGTTCCCTGTCATATTGCCGTTCACGTTCCTGCTGTTCCTCCAGATCATACAACACAAGCTGTTGGGCCGGAACCGGTTCTTTCAAAGTAAGATCTGGTTTGTCCGAAACTTCCCCGAGTCCGCTCATCTCGGAGAGAAACTGTCCTTCATTCGGAACTTCAAACGTACAGGAAATAAACAAGTCGTCATCAATGACCTGAGACGCGTTGTTGAATTCCCTCCTTCTCTTTGATCTTTTGATTGATCGTAAACAACTGCCGCAGATCATTAGAGGCTCGAGATTGAGTCAGGCTGTCGTACAGCTTCTGCAGCTGGGTCCCCCACTCGTTCACTTCGATAAATCGAGCATTGATCTTTTGCTTATTGTCTTTCACTTGAGTCTTCACCATCTTTATCAAGGCTTCCTGCCTCCTTTCAAGCAAAAGACGGTATTCTATGAAAGTATCCTTGATTGAGACTCGGAGCTGCCTCTCGAGGATGTCCAACCGTTTAGAGGCGTTGGCTAATGAATCCCATCTCGATTTCATCTTGTCCAGGATCTCTTTTGTCTTGTTTTCCATCGTATCAAACTCTTCTGAACTTTCGCTGACGGCGTCGGTCACGTCGACAATGACGTGACCTTGTTGTTCCTTGTGGTCGAGCACGGTGCAGTCCCGACAGACGGGAAGAAAACACTTCTTACAGAAGAAATTCAGTGGCTGGCGCTCGTGTTTTGAACACACATTCTTCGACTTGGCAACAGCTTGGGACAGGAAGTCCATCATCTGGATGACCCTGTGGTCATTTGGGAGTTGGGCGATTCCTCCACGGCTTAAATATATCTCTACCCTACACTGTGGACATTTCAAGCTCCATGTAGACCCTCATCCAGCCAAGATCGGTCACGTCTGGTTGCTGGCTGACTGTGGTCAAACACCTGCTTCAGACACGGAAGACAGAAGGTGTGGTTGCAGGGTAGAGATTTCGGTGGTCGTTCTTCGTTTTCAAATTTGTCCCGGCATATTTGACACCGGAGGAACTGCTCCTCAAAAGTCGCCTCGTCGACGATGAAGCTGCGTCCAGTGGCTCCTGCCGACGCGCCTGACTGATCTCCATCTGTTACGACATCCCCTGTCTCTGACGACATGGTGGTCTCGAACCCTTTCAGAGAGTAAAAGAAAAATATATATTATTATCAACAAAAATATAGATGTATTAAAAATCAATTTGAACTGTCTAATTATCTTAAATAATGTTATTAATATATGTATCCAATATAAAAGCTATACCAATTTTTATATTCGAGTACTGAAGTTGCAACAGCGAGAGAGAGAGAGAGAGAGGTTTATTCAAGTAAAGGGGCCACAGGCCCATTATACAAATGTACAAAGTGCAAGGTCTAACAAGCGCCATAAAATATTCAATATTAGCACAAGTGCTAATCAGCAGATACAAGAGGCTGTAGGGGTACTATACACTCAAGAATGCATTACGCTTCTTTAAAGCTAGATACACAAATTTTCCAAGATTATTAATAAGAAGTATATTCTTCGTCATGAACAACTGAGACAGTTTCTGTTGTGACGGGAAATTGTAATAATAATTTGGAATTGTCATTTCTCTAAGATTATTATAAAATGGACATTCTAGGCAAAAATGAAATTCGCTTTCTACAGTAGGAATAATACACAATGGACACAAGCGTTCATTTCGCTTTAGACCAAGGCGTCTACCATATTCAATCATTAACATATGACTGGAGCTTCTAATTCTACTTAAGGCAATACGAAATACTTTGCATTGAACGTGATTAATGTAGAACTCTAAGCAAACTTTGTTTTTGATATTACTCAGAAAATCAAGTTTAGAAAAACACAGCATATCACCTTTCCATGATTGGTTATGAACGTCAATACATCTTTGTTTGAACAGAGATATGAAAGTAGTGACATTCCCAACATTCTGGTAAAACCAGGCATATCCAAAACCATATTGATTTAGAAGTCTTTTTTACACTTAGTGCCCAACATGGGCGTCCTTTCTCTGCAGTTCGATATTGATATTCATACACTTTCTTTAAAATAACATTATCAGCTTGAGATACCAGTACGAAGACAGGTAAGTTGCCTTCAAATAACCAATGCGTCGTTCAGAAAGCATAGACAGTGACTAATGTCGCGTACCTGGCAAAAAATATACACTGAAAAATTAGATTTAGGAACACAGAACAATAATTCCAAACGTTATCAACATGTTTCAAAGATTCGCAGAAACAGTGTAAGGTGAGGTGAGGTGATATGGGGTTTAACGTCGTGCTTGAGAATATTTCGCTCATATGACGACGTGCATGCGTGTGTATGTGTATGTGTGGCTGCTTGTACTAGCCCAGACTTAAGCTGGTTTTATAGTGCTAGCCCACTGAGATACCATGCTGCAGTGAAGCAGGAATACCCCACTCAGACACATTATACTGACTCTGAGCCGACCAGTCCTTGTTGTACCCATTAATGCCGAGCGCCAGGCAGGGACTAACAAGTACCGTATTTAACGTCTTTTGGTATGACGCGGTCGGGGATCGAACCCGCGACCTTCCGCTCTCCGGGCGGACGCTCTAACCACTACACCACGGAGGCGGTCCGAAAGAAACAGTGTAAACTTATGTGTGTATATATTTTTGCCCCTTTCACTACCAACAACACTGGTTTGCCACTGAACAATCTCTTTTGAAGTATTCTGTAACTGAACTAAAGTAACGATTTCGTCAGTGTTACATGCTTGGGATGATACTATCTAATAAACTGCCTTGTTTTCCTACAGATCATGGACGAATAAATAGAAAATCATCATCGTTTTTTTGTTCCCATATCTATTTCCACAAATGAGGCAGGAGCAGGTGGGATTCAAATACTTGTGTACACCCTTAAGAAAAGACTACTAGTATTCCTTCCGAAACTCGTATTCAACAAACCTTGTTAAACAACCTTAGAGTTAGCAGAATAAAATAATGTATTACGTAACGGCATACAGAACGAACACTGTAAGCTTGACAGCAAGACATTCACTGATAAGTTGAGTGACCCTGTCAACCCATAGTCGTATCCCAGTGATCGAGTTCACAAGCCAGTGTTATAAATGACTAACTCTTTTGTTAGACGAACCCCCTGTGAAACAAAGATGGCGTCCTGCCAAAATTTCTACCAGTAGTATTGGAATATATTTCACAAATCACAAGCTTATATCTGTGTTTGTAGGGGAAAAGTGTCTGCTAAATATTGCGTTTGATCAACACATTCCAGTTTTATGCAACTCGTTGGAAGCAAGTTACAAAAAGGTAATTACTTGACAAGGAAATAGATGGTGGCTCATCTCACAGTACTGTACGTTTTAGTTTATGCATATTAGCTTTCAGTGAATTCGTAATACATTGATTTAGTTGGTAAATAAACTGATAATTACATTTAGGATATGATAAATCTGTAGAACAAATATAATGTAATATAAATCGGTTTATGTATGACGTTCCGTTTATACCAAATGCCAAAATATAATATTATAGAACAAGGTTAGAGCAACAGGTTATTACACGTATTAAGGTATAAATAACATAGAACAAATAAAGTATAACAGCGCTTCCTACTGTGTGTAATATTCAGGTCATAAATAATCTAGACGAAATCAAGTATAACATAGTTTGTAACTGTATATAATACCCGTTATTACACATACCAAGGTATAAATAATATAGAACAAATGAAGCATAACATCGTTTCCAACTGTCTATATGATATTCAGGTTATAGATAATGTAGACGAAATCAAGTATAACATAGTTTGTAACTGTATATAATACCCGTTATTACACATACCAAGGTATAAATAATATAGAACAAATGAAGCATAACATCGTTTCCAACTGTCTATATGATATTCAGGTTATAGATAATGTAGACGAAATCAAGTATAACATAGTTTGTAACTGTATATAATACCCGTTATTACACATACCAAGGTATAAATAATATAGAACAAATGAAGCATAACATCGTTTCCAACTGTCTATATGATATTCAGGTTATAGATAATGTAGACGAAATCAAGTATAACATAGTTTATAACTATGTGTAATAAACAGGTTATTATACATACCAAGGTATAAATAATGTAGAATAAATCAGGTATACCATAGTTTTAACTATATCTATAATACTTGGAGATCATAAAATATCAGATAAACGATTTAGAACAAATCAAGCACAACATACGCATACAATATTCAGGTTATACAAAATACCAAGTTGTAAATATTGTAAATAAATTTTATGTCATAGAACTGTACACATGATACTTTGACAGACTTCGTTGCAGTGTAATCACGTAGGGCTATAAAAAGTATCTTTCAAAACCTCCTTCCTTTTTATTTTAAAAGATCTGATATTCTATTAATGTTTGTTTACATTTTGTGATACATTATTTTAGGTTTGTATTTTACAAATACCCTGTCGTGAACATCAATAATACGTCGTAGTTATTTATCGTTATGTATAAAAACACTGAGTAAATAGCATTAGTTGTCATTATGTTCATCAGTTAAAAAATATGAACAATATGAATTAACATTTAATTTGAAATATCACACATTCTCGTTATTTGGTAAAAAATATATATAGTCAAACTTCAAACAGACATTTTCCATGATATCTCAACATACCTTCTGTGATCAAACGTCTTCACCAATATTCGTCTATACTTTTTGTCTACCACATAGAATTGCACTCTGAGTTTGTGTTTACATCCCCGTACGGCGTTATATAGGCATGACGTGCTAAGAATAACCCTGAATATAAATGATCACGTGACGATATATACTGTGATCGTCATACAAACCCAGTCTTGGTAAACAAATAAAACCAATTTTAAATGAATTATTAAATATGCATTCATTATTATCTTGCATGCTTGTTTAAAAACCGAGTTTTGTTCACGCAAAAGTTAAACATTTTGGATATGGTGTGTCAGCCTTTTGTTGGCGAGGGTTGTGTATCAATGTTTACTGTAGTGCTTGGACACGCTCCTACGTGGGTCGTGAATCACAACACTCGGCCCCTTGCCAAAAACCAAAACAAGCCACTCCGCTACGTCCCAAACATATATGACACATAATAGAAAGTTAGTTGATTGAAATTAACAAACCTTCACTGGTTATTTCTTGAAATACAGTCCATTTTTGTGTCAGCCATCTCGGGCGCTTGTGCTGCTGTACTGTTCCATGATCGATCGAGCGCGACATTCACATACATGTACGGACACGCTTGAAACGGGCCAACATAAAGTATAACGGTAACTATGCCGTTGTGTAACGGCAATCGAGTTACTAATCGAAAATATGATGATCTCATCTTTTTAACATTGTGTCAGGCTGTTGGAATCTAGACGGAAATAAAAGATTAAGAGAAATGACTGAATATTCCTAAAAACTTGCCTTCTGTGGCGAGTGAAACGTTGAGAAACTTGATGTTAAAACTTTATTTTTATACAACGGTTCTGAATTTTAAAAAACAACAAATTACGGCACATCTGTGTAAGAAGGCAAAGCGCGACATGTGCATAAATACATTTTGAAGTAAGCGCTTCGATTAATGAATAATATGTCTTAATATTGTTACGTCCATTCATTATAGTTCATGTTTCTGATGGGGCGCGGGCGGTAATAAGTTACATCATAACTCCCAGCCCCAAACCCTTTCAACACATACATATATGTTCAAACAAACAAACTAACAAACAAATCGCCGCCAACGTTGTTACAAGCCGAGAAGGTTTCAATCCAAGCTTTTAATGTGTCAACGTTAATAACTGAATGGTCTGATCGATCATAGAGAATGTTATCCACAGCGGAGTTTAATCATTCGTTTATTTTGACTGAGCCAATGAGTCAGCGAATGAATGGGTGAGTTTGGATTGGCGGAGTGTTTGAGTGGGCGAGTGAAATAAGTTGACCGTACTTTCTTACATGTTAAAAGTCCAAACAACAAACAGGTGTATGCCGAGTGAATGAGTTAGTTTGAGTGAGTTAGTGAAAATCACAACAACAAACGTGTATACTGATTGAATTATTGAGTGAGTGAGTGAGTTTGGGTTGGTGGATGTTTGAGTGAGCGTGTGAAATACGTCGACCGAGACTTTTCTTACAAGCACAAATCCCCAACAACAAACAGATGTGTACCGAGTTAGTGAGGGTTGCTGGGTGTTTGAATGAGAGAGTGATTTATGTCGCCCATACTTTCTTGCATGTAAACCCCACATGGGTATATGTGTGAAGCCCATTTCTGGTGTCCCAGGCCGGGATATTGCCTAATATCGCATAAACCGGCGTAAAACCATACACACTCACTCTTTATATAAAACACACGAACAAACAGGTGTATTCCGACCACGGTTTACACGTATTATCTGATATATGAACACCATCAAACTATAGCCTATACTGTTGACTTGTCAAATGATGTGATCGGCCAGGTGGCTGTATAGCAGGGTCATATGTAGACTAGCTTAGTCTCTGAATATTTAAATTGAAAAGGAGCCCTGCTGGGAAATTCAGAACCTGAGGGAATCTAGACTTGCTTCATTTAGAGCTTCACCATTGCAGGGAGGGCTATGCAGTAGGGAAAATATGTGCTTCCGGACTGTGAGACAGACTATAGGTCATGCGCATGTCGCTTATAATACAGCAGTGCCTTATTAATTATGGCGGCACGGAAATTCCTCCCATAAATGACTTCACATCTCCATATATGATTCTGGTGTGATGATCGCCCAGTTGTGTGTATATATGCACGCGCGCACACACACGCTGACACACAGACATACACACACGCTGACACACACACACACACACACACACACACACACACTGATGCTAAGAAACACAATTCTCTATCATCCCGATGGAAACCAGTACATTACATTAACAACGGCTGAAATACAAAATGGCTATAGTCGTGAAATAGTTTAGAGGCATTTGGGAACTGTTCGTTATGGTCGGTTTGAAACCAAAGTCGGACTGATG